GGCCAATCCACTCAGGAAGTGAGCATGATTTGTGTTCCGTTTGGTTTGTTTCTCAAAACAGGGTCCGTGGGCTAAAATGGCTGGTGTTCCTTGAGCTTCCCTCTAGATGCCAACCAAGAGGGGTCCATGTTGAGGATCTCCCAAATGTGGAAGTCGCGGGTGCGAATGGGGGGGAGCGTGATTTTTTTGTACCAATGTACGCGTTCCATGTTTGATGTCCGGTTGCCGTCAGGATTATGAAAAAACAACAGTATTTCCTCTTGGCTGCTCACAGGAAAACGGCCATGGCATGTCAAAATATTGCAAGTAGGGGAACAAGGGAAAACCAACAGGTAGCGCAACTTAGCAAGGTTTTGTGGCTGGATGAGCTAATGTACTTGCAATATTCCAGGAGTCCGTTGAATCCCCTGGTAAATATGGTTCTATATCCTGATTGTGTGGCCTCTGTGTATTTCAGGAACACTTTTGTAGGGATACCTCATGGCGCGCTTGGACAAACAATGGTTTGAACGCCACTTTCCAGCGTTTCGGCACCTTTCCTTGCGTTTTGTCAACGGTCTATCCGGTTGCCTCGCGCTGAGGAATGGGGACTGGCGCTTTGAGGGCAAAGGCGGGGCGAAGTCTCCTCATCAGGTCATGAGTGCGTAACCAGGTTCAAAAGACATGGGCATCTTAAATACCAGACTTTGAGAGTAGCGCTCTGGCATTGTTTGGTTTCTTGCACCATTTAGACATGGAAGCTGAGTCCCGTGCATTTCACCCAGTCGACTCGTAGTACAGAGCCGCTGGATTCCCACTGCAGAGGGTTCAACCAACCGCTTCCGCGAGGCGCTCTGCTGGCCTTCAGCGCCGAAGTCAACCAAAGGCGACCCGAGCTTGTCGCCTCCTGGCGCCCCTCGGGATCTCAGCGAGATGGACTGGGATGGCAACGTGTTGCTTTTCCCCAAAGGGGGATGGTCACCCTTAGTTGGTGGTTTGGATTGGTGGTTTGGGATGCAAGCTGGGAAAAGGCATGCTTGCTGGCTTTGTGCAGATCCCCCCTGTTCAGCAGCTGAGAGCTGAAATTGGGCACACGTTGGGTGACTGGATGAATGGAAACGCCGTGTTGCCCAGGTTTTCCTCAAGTTGAGGGGGGAGGCGCTGTTTGTAAGGTGCTCCTGCAAAGACTAGCTAAGGAATGCAGACTGCTTGGAGGAAGCACCCCTCGCCACTCCAAAGGAAACATCGTTTAAACTTTTTGGAGAGCATATACTTTGGATGGACGGAATCCTGCGCCACCTAAGAAACCCTTGCTGACCAGGTGTTTGTCCATCCAGAGTAGGACGACTGCTTCTGCCGGGGGGGGGGGCAAAAAGCTTGCACCATTATTTTCTAGGGGTTTTGGAGGAAACAGATGTGGCGTGCTTGTGATCGTGCTGGATAGCCCTGGGAACGTTGCCGGTCGCAACCAAGGGAGACCAGGTCTCAACCACGCAGTGGTTAGCTCAACCACGCCCCAGCGTTCCTTTATGGGCTTGTTGGTTTTGCCTCGATTCATTTTTTTTACGTGTGGTTCAAGCGTAGTTTCTGACCGAGGGATCAAATCCACACCCCCTCCAAGGCCTTGTGTACTGACTAGCACTTCCCATGTTTGGGAACTATCCTTGAAGGGCTGTACTTTGGTTTGTGCCTACAGGGCAGAGCGTGTGTTGTTGCCTAAAAATAAGCTGCAGGTTCGGCTCAAAGTGGGGGGCGATAGTTTCTCTTTCAACAGCCCAGACTCATTGATTTTGCCAGGGAAGAAACAAGGGATTGGCACTCCAAGAGGCAAGAACGATGATTGCACTCTTGGCACAAAAGAGTGTTGCTACCAAGAGGTTGCTACACAGAATCATTGATTTTGCCCAAACCGTCTTGCACTCTAAGAGGTTTTGTCAGCTACCTCGCCTGAGGCGTCCCCGCAGGTCTTCGCTTCCAGCCCTTGGCGTTGAGCATCACCGACGCTGGGCACGGAACGGAGGTTTTTGAATGTCTAGCAACGAGAAGACAAAGAGCTGCGGATGTCAAAACCGTTTTGGGATCCCATTTTCGGGTAGGTGAATTCACCACCCAGTTTAGAACCTATTTTAGTTGGGACTGGGATGTTCACTGGGGGTACGATTTGGATTTTGACCCATGGCCAAATGGCTTGCAGATCTCCCCTTTTGGTGGCTTTAAACATCAGCTTTTGGGTGTTTCTTCTTGGCAAGGTATGCAGAGTGAAGTTTAAGGGGAAAAAAAGGAGCCCGTAAGACCATGTTTAGCGTTCCCCACTTGGAGGTCAGAAGGAGAAGGCGGATTCCGGTGACCCTCTGTTTTTGCACCTGGTCGGTTCACTCGATTTGGTCAGACGGAATCTAAACCTGTTATTTGTTAGTTCGTTGCGATGGACAAGACGTCAAGCTTCCTCACATTTACTTGATTTATTCGGTGTTGTTTGGTATAATATGTTCAGTATCCCATTTGACTTCATATTGTCAGCGAGGTTCGTTTGAAATCTCACATCCTTCACCTTGGTTGCCTTGGACCTCCCTCCCTCGAATGTGTTGTTCTTAAATATGTTCAAGATTCACTGAATCTGGATGTGCCAAAGAGGTTGCATGAAAAAGACGGACATGCAAGTATGTGTCAGAAATAGACCTTTACATTAAGGGGGGCAGGCTTCCTTTACATCGAACCTGAAAGGGAACCCTCCAAAACTGCAAGCCCGTATTTCATTGTAACATCAGTACAGCTTGTCCTTGTATTTCCTGATATTCTGTTCCATTGACTTCTTTGTAAGTGTCTTTGCCATATTCAAAGTCACATATACATACACACTATTCTTTCCATATTTGATTATTTGTTTATAATTTCATAGGATGAATGTGGGCCGAAGTGTGCGTGACACATCCAGAAGGCAAACGCCGGCAACTGAGGCCGGCGCAGCGACGCGCTTGCCAGTGATACTCCTTCTGGCGCTCGCGCTGGCGCATGTGCTTTAAGCGCTGAGCAAGAAGTTCCAAGCAAAGAGCTGAGCTTCCTTGGACATATTTTGGCTATGCGTTTGCCCAGGGCAAACTTTATCTTCCTGGAGATATGTTTGTTGCATCACATCCAGTTTTTCCCCGTTGGTAGGTGGACATGAGCCTGACCGATTTGTTTCTTGCTCAGCTGGATACCTCGCGGGCAAAGACCTGCTACGGCTCAGAAAAGTGCACCGTGGGAGGGCCAGGATCTATCTGACAGGGGGAGTTCGCTGTGTAGGTCCTGTATATAGTGTAGTCGGGGGGATCCCTTCTTTCAAGTGTTGGGGTATTGTAGAATATGCAGATCAATCTTACGTAGGTAGGGAAGTAAAGGGCAAGATGCAGCCGGCTGCGCACTGGGAAATCAAGTGCGGCGGTTTCAGACGCCACCCGCCCGATGTCTCTGCTTGCCTGTTTTTGTGTACATTTGGCTCTTTTTAGGTTGCAACTAAATCAAAAAAGACCAAAACTCGAACGCTCACTCGACTTGTGATTTTTGACACTAGTGCGGAATGTGGAAAGCTGATGATCTGAGGTGCCCACTTTCCGTTGTTCATGCTCTTGCACGTTGACGGGTGATACAAGTTCCAGTTTTGTTTTCCAAGGAGGGGTCCCTATGTTTTCTTTTCCTAAAACCCTTGCCACCGTGTTCCTTTGGTTCTGGGGTTCCCTTCTTGCATGCTGCTAGCCAGAAATCGGCAAGTTCTTCGCCAGCCTTTGGACTTGAACCTTGGGATGCGGTCAGCCTGTCACCTTTGTCTGAGCCTTTCTTTCCCACTCAAAGTCGTTGACTTTTTTAGCTTTTTTGTGGGGGATGGCAACAGCCATCCATGTTTTACTCGGGTTGGTGCACAGGCCTTGTTGGCAAGCTGCTGTCCTTTTGTCAAAAAGCATGGACCTTTCCTTGCGAAAGGGATCTCACGGGCCGAAGCTGTGAGGGGTAATCGGGAAAGCCGAGGCTCCCGGAGGAAGAGTCTCAATGTTTCTCAAGGGGTGCCGGTTATAGGTGTCCTTTTTGGTTGTTTTGATAAAAAGAAAAAACCAGATGGCCCTGGTATACCTGGTGGTTTTATCATCTACCAGGGCCATCTATTTCCCCTAAAAGGACGCCTATGGTACCGGTTGTGTTGGTTGCTCATGTGAGCCACTTGCTCAAAACCCGGGGATTGATGATCCAGTTAGTAAGGGACAGTCCCAGCCAGAAACAGCTGCGGATATCCGCCTTTGTATTTCCTTACTGGGTCAACGATTTGAATATCGCGTTTTGATTGTGGCTCATGTTCCGTTTCGGAGATTTCAAGAACCTACCTAGCCACACATGTGTGAATCAGATCGCCTGAGCTGAGTGGACAGAGAACAGACAACTAAGCATAGAAGGTATCCTTCATTTCAACCTGTACGGCTTGTTTTCGCTGTTACGGCGAGAACCATTGCATTGTGAAGACATATCTCCCACTAGGCAGCAATCAACCCAGTGTCACGGTCCTTGCTTCTGGCAACGAGCATCGTTGCGAATGTTTATCCTGTTTGTTCCACGGTTGCAAGGGCTGCCCCAGAAAATCATCATGGGTCGAGCTTGGGATATTCGGACCTTGCCCATGTTCCCTGGTTTTCCATTGCCAGACCCGCAATTGGGAGTTTCGGGCCAGGTTGGCGTGCGAGCAATCTGGGGGGGAGGGCAGAAGAAAACTGTTTGCTGACGTACCGGGGCTTGGGCAGTTACAAGTTCCTCAGAACTTGGTTTTAAAGGGGAGCATTTCCAAGTCGGCCACATATCCCCAATCCCCGTGAGACGTTTGTGGATGAGACGTTTGTGATGGGCACTAAGTCCAGCGAGGGAATGTTCGGGGCAGCCAAACCGTTGACAATCTTGACTTACCTCAAAGGAAGCCACAAGGGCAAGGACAAGACACGTGCTGTCTCAGGCCCCCTGTCCTTCACCCAGATTAGGTCATGCAAGGTTTGCGCGCCGAGGCGTCTCCTCCATCCGCATGCAACGTCCCGGCACGTGCCCTGCCGAAAGCTCCACACGCAGCGGGCTCCGTTTCCACAAGGCCTACCCCGATTAACATGGAACCGACCAGAGCTTCCCTGTTGGAGGAAAATTGTTTGCCAGACATCCCCCGTCAGCTTCCATGTCGACGCGGGAAAGGTTGCTTCAAATCGGGGCAAACAAAACGCAACCTTTTCAAAGCCTGGAGGATTCCAGGCCACAGCTCTCTCAAACTGGCGACAGATTCCCCTTTGGCTTCCTGTCGGCAATACCCCAAAAAGGCTCAACTTGTTTCGACTTGCTTGCCAGGCTTTGTACCGCAGAAGGCCTGGGCAGCCCCCGACCCTTGCGTTCCGAGGCTTTAAGAAGAGCTTCCTAGGGCCACTTTCAGTGAGTTGTCAAGGGAATCCCCTTCAAAGTGATCCAGTTGCCATGGGGAGTGCCAACTTCAGCACAGAATCAAAGACTTGGGAGCGATGTTCCACAAGTGTATCGCTATAGCTTCCAGACATGCAGATTTCCTCCAAATAAGGGGCCTTATCTTTTGAGCAAGCGGACTGGGGCGGGGGGTTGGGTGGAATCCTATGACAAACAACGAGAGGAGAAGGTCCTGTAGCCTGCGAGGTACAAGATTTGCGTATGCGATGCCAGCGCTTCTATTCAGAAGAGCTTTGACGGCACCACCAACATCACCACAGGCGCGTGGCTTGAATTGGTGCGTCTTTTTCAGGGCCCTTGCTTAAACTTGAAAGCAAACACCCAAAGGGAAAACTGCCATTTCGGAGGTTGCCCTCCAAAAGTCGCGAGGAAAATGGGTTTCTTGTCGGCTTCTTTTAATTCCCGCAGAATTCAAGCTGTTTTCTGTTCCTGGCGGTGAACAATTGTCGCTGAAGACATGTCGTGGCGAACCTAGTTCATTTCACGGTTTCTGAAGAAGGCGGCTTACTGATTTCGAAAAGCCCGGATAATCAGAGAAGAAGTGGGCTCTGCTATTTCCAAATGCTGAGTCAGTGCCGACTTTACAAACTGAGACCTGAAGACACCGATGAAACGACCAGCTTCCAAAATAGCCACGAGCTTCAGCGGACGGAAGGGCTGGCCCATTTCAAAGGGGTTGCTCCAACTTGCGTTTCATTGAGCCTGTCAGACGGGTTTTCCCCATTGGCTCCGTTGCACCGCTGGCCCACGGTGTGCATCCACTGGGGTTGGCACAGTCCAATTTGTGTTTTGAAAGCTATTGGCTCCGAAGGGCAGAGTCAGGTGTGACTCAAGGGCACCCCCAAAAGGTTGCGTCAAATGCTTAACCCCCCGAGAACCTGGGTCCAGCCGTCAGGCAACTTTGAAGCTGCCGGCGTCATTGGGTCCGGCTGCGCCCCTCGGCGAGTTTTTTATGCGCGCTTTACGGCAAAAGGGCAAGCCAGGCCATGGGCACCGGGTGGGGTGAAATCTTCCAAGAAACAGGGCGCAAGCGGGTGTGTCTTTTTTTGAGGCTGCCCCTTGTGGATGTAAAGGCAGACCAATAGGCACACCACCATTGTTGGGGTTCCCCTTTTGTACGACGCCCCGAAAAGTTGAATCGTTTCACCCTTTCTCCCTTGTTTCTGAGTGGGTTCCCCTCTAAAAATGAAATCCGGGCAATGGCGAAAGACGAACATGGAGGCCAGGGAGAAAACAGGCACCGGCAACCTTCGTCCTTGATTTCATGTTGGATCACTGCAGATGGATCCATGTAGGACATCCCCCGAAAGGAAACGTATGAAAAGGGGCCCGCTTTGATTTTAGAGGTGTTTGCTGCTAGGATATGGGGTGTGCATGGTTCATTGCCCTTTGGTGGATATCAGTTAGGTGGGATTTGCCCGTCATGCATTTGGGATGGTATTCTTCATTGAAATGTGTAGCCGAATCTTCAGCCTGCGCTTCTTAGACCCAAAGGTTCGATGTTCTCTTGATAGGCTTCATCCAGTTCTCATGTGCCGTGTTCTATCATTGGTAGGTTTTTGCTGAAACGCCACCCAACCAAGCAGTGTTCATGTTTGTTCCTTTCACAACAGGTTCCTGTCTTGGCTCAATGTCATCGTGCGGTTTCTTTCTCTTGGCTGGCAAGAAGGGTAAACTGTTTATTGGTGCAGCTGCTTTTCCGTGCAATTCAGAAGATCGACTTCCCTTTGAAGTCAACCGACCAGATTGGTTTTTAAGGCGACTCCCGACCTCTACATCCACAACCCCGAAGAGGGGCCTGAGCCGCAGAATGGTGCCGGCACGTCTTTGAATTGCGGTGTTCATGCCCAATAGGACTTGAATTCCAGTTGTATATCCGTTTGAGGACACTGCTTCTTGGCGTTTTTGCAGGGGAGTGAAGGGAGGCCATCCATTCTTAGTGGGAGGTTTTTTTTGGTACGCATATTTGTTTATGTGATTAGCCATGGTTCATATCATCATCAGGGACGTCGCGTTAGTGACCGACCTGTGGTGTTTTGGCTCAAGTTTTGGGTTCCGTCGCGCCTCGAATGGGCGTCGCCGAACCCCTGCGTCGACCGACGGCATCTCGGGGGAGAAAGAGACCTCGGGCCGCCGCCAGGTTGGTAGGGACCAGTCGTGCGGCCTGTTGTCGACCAAGGTTGCGGGTTAACCCTTTTCTTGTTTGGTTTGTTTTCCTTTGGTTGTTGTTCTCTGGTGTGTGGGAAACCCTGATCTTTGGGACCGGGGATTGGTTTGCTTTTGGGGAACCTTTCTTTTGTGGCTTGTTTACCCCAACTTACCCATTGCCTGGGCACAGGCTCGTGCCCGAATCACAGGTTATCAGCCGTAGGACTTTCCTACGCGCTTGAGACCATCAACTACAAGCTCTATGTCGACCCCACGATCTCGAAGGAGTGTCGTGGATGAGGAGGCCATCCTAGGGGGCCTCCGCTCAGGTGAGGACCTACCGGACTATGACTACGAGGATTTCGAAGCAGGTTCGACAGGTCAGGATCGCAGGGGTGAAGATCCCGGTAGGGACACACCCAGGAGCCGTGGCAGGTACACCGACGATGGAGACGATCGCATTTTCCGTCAGGCCACCGATGATGAGCAGACACGAAGGGTTCGCTCCGATAGGAGCGGCTCTGAATCAGGTCACAGGCGCGGACAGTTCGACTTCATCAGCATGGCGATGAACATGGCCCGCCCTCATTCGGACGACCCGGAGGCATGCCGACCCGACCCCCGAGATCTCTTGTTCCAGGTGAATCGCAGGTCTCGGATGAGTTTGAGGACAGGCCGCAGGGACCAGGGACTATGGTTTTGGCTCCGAGAGGTATCTCGGGTCGATCCACCGGTTCTCAAAATCCAGGTCAGTTTGATGAGCACGAGGAGCGGAAATTCTCAGACTTCGGATACGATGCTCTGTTGAAATCAACCGCAGGTTGGGGCAGTAGCTCAAAGCAGGGATCTGATGCCGGTAGGCCCAACCCTAATACTGCCAAATCTGAGTCCTATGATGGCGAAGATTTCAATTTTGCGGATGAGGAGGAGGACCAATCACGCCGAAGTGCTAGGATCCGTGATGCTGCGAGGCCCAGGAGCCTCTCTCGTGGTGCCGCCAGGGACCTCCGTGTTGACAGGGACGTCCGAAGCGAGAGAGAGAGGGCTAGGGATAGTCGGGAAGTTCTTCGGGGATTGGAGGCCATCCATGACCGTGAGGGACCGATAGGTCCTCCGGCGATTGGTGATACCCCGAATGTTCCCCCTTTTCCCAACATTACCTTTGGAGGTCCGTTGAATCGGAGAGACGTGAACTCGAACCGGGTTACTGGTTCGCCGAGGATCACTGAGCGGGCTGCCGATGTCGTTAGGACAGGTGCCAGAGATGGTCGGCTTGCCGATGCACTCGGGATCGAAGATCGTCCGTCGATCGCCAGCCCGTTAGGGCGAGATACCAGCGATCTTGAAACGCTGAGGTCTAGCAACGAGTTCACACCTCAATGGGGCTCGACCGCCAGGGAACGTAGTGTTTCTGCGAAAAGGCCGTCACCTCTCGCCATTGAGACCGATAGGTCGAAGGCAAGGAGGGCTAGCCCCTCACCAATGGGTTTGGCTCTGCAGGATGAGGAGATGCCCGACCCTGCTGATGTTCACATTCACTCTACTCCTGAGTCTCGTGCATCCAACGTTGATCCCCGATCTGGCGATAGCCGGAGAAGGGGGTCTACCCCGAGTAGACCACCCAGGATTGATGATTGCCCTGTAGGCGACCCTAGAAGACATGCCGGGGCTAGTGGGGCTCCTGAGAGGATCGAGATATCGACCCCTCCCGCCCTCAGATCCCAGTCTTCCGGCGAATCAGGTGACGTCAGGGCAAAGGAGATGTTTGAGTTGCACATCCAGGAGATGCTCGAGAGGGGTGAGGTTTCTGGCTCAGTCGCGAAGGCGTTTCATATTTTTGCGGACCAAATCAGGTTACTGAACGGTCAGGTGAGTTCCTTGCGAAGGGAATGGAGCGACGAGAGCCGACAGACGAAGGACAAGGTCGATCGCCTGGCAGCTGAGGTTGCAACTCAATCTGATGCCGGGAGGATGCGTATGATAGTTCAACGGTTTGCGAGGGAAGTTATTCCCGACAGCAAAGCCATTGTTAGGCAAGCCATCGATGAACAGGCTGAAGTCGTGGAGCAGAGGATCAACCTACTGTCCCACGAGGTTCACGAATCTGTCAAGGACAATGAGGCCTCGACTGATCGGCTTCGTCAGGTGATTCAGGAGAATCGTGAGGCTGTCCACAGGAGCCATGCTGCTTCCGAGGATGAGATCCTTAAGGACTTGGAAAAGCTCGAGAAGCGGATGTTCTCGGTAGAGAAAACCGTCGGGATGAGGACGCCAGCAGGTGAATGGAGTTTGGATCCTATCGCGCAACCGTCCGATAGGGCCAGTAGCAGTGTGGTGAACGCGAATTTCAGGGAGTTGAACCTGAAGCTCGAGAAGGCTCTCCTCGAACACGAGAAGTTTGCTAAGTGGGCCTCCGAATCTATTGGTGGCATAAATGAAGAGCAAACCATTCTTGCTAATCGGATGTCGAGGCTGCAAAGTGGAAGGGGTTCACAGGCGATCGATAGATCATCAGGGCCCGTATCCCCGCAGGACTGGCATGAAGCAATTGACGAAGTCAATCGAAAGATCCAGGATCTATCTCGTGGAGTTCAACGCCACCATGGGGACCATGACGATGTCCTTGCAAGGTTTGAAACCTTGAAATCCCGTGTTGAGCAGTACGAGGCGAGTTCGGGAATTCTGAATCAAGTTCTTGATGACATCAGAAGACAGATCCGCAGTCTCCCTGCGAATAGTGACCAAGCGCGGTCTGCCGTTAGGCGTGAAATTGACTCATTCCGGAGTACGCTTGAGGGCGCTATGCGGAGAATCAGCACTGTTGAGAGTAACATGCGTACTCTTAATGGAATGAACAACAGGATCATGGCTCAGCTCTATGAAATCGAAGGTCACGTTGATGAAGCTGCTGTCATTATTCAAGGTGCCCAGGACAATCAAGCTAATCCCCCACAGCCTAGAGAGAGACGGAACGTCGGATACGACGCTTTCGCAGGGCAAGGACACAGAATCAGGTCTCCGACGCCCACTCCCGGAGAGGGTAATGGTCGGGGTACTGGCCTTCCGGTGAGACCAGGCGGAGGTGTTGAATTGGTTGATCACGCTTAGATGTGCCCGGTAGGGTCGATCCTTCTCGTGCAGACAGGCACCCCATTAATCCCGATAGGGAGAGGGCTGATAGCAGGAGCAGGAGGGCACGGGGGTTGCCTGACAGGTCGCATTCACCGCCAGGGCGTGCGAGGGATGGCCCCCGCGCGCGTGCAAGGGGGGACATTTCTGTTTCTCCCGATAGGGATGTGGGTAGGAATAGGAGCCCGAGGCCTGCTGTCGTCCCCGATAGGGGATCTGAGGTCCGGAGTCGGCAATCAAGGGGGGAGAGGCCGATCCGCGATAGCGGGAGCATCTCTCCGAGTTTGGACAGGCCGATCCGCGATAGCGGGAACGTCTCTCCGAATCCAGGCCGTCATCCAGGAGGTGGTAGGGGTAATAGGGCCCATGCCGACATCCAGAGTCCCGGTGATGACTGGAGGACTCCTGGGAGTAGAGCTAGTGCCGACGTCCAGAGTCCCGGCGATAGGTGGGGGACTCCTGGAGCTCCGTCTGATCGTGGACAGGCCTCTGCGCCGGCCGCAAGAAGAGCTCCCGGTACCGGTGGTCCAGGTGCGCCAAAGATTTGTGCCCTCGACAATCCCAACGACCGTAGGCACCCGGACGCTGAGTTCTCGTGTGTTACGTGCAGTCGTGAGTTTTGTGGGCTTTGCCGGGGTGACGACGGGGACTGTTGCAATTGTCAGTTCTTAAAAATGAAGTGTTGGGCATGTCGCAAGAATGCCCAGGAGGTCTCAATATATTTCTGCACCGATTGTGGGAACCACGTTTGTGAGGATCACAGTTATTTTGGAAATGACGGCCTCGAGCGATGTGCGCGCTGCAATATTCGGCATGAGCGTGATATCGCTGGACCGCCTCCTCCTCCCCCTCCTGGGGGAGGAGGTGGGCAAGGCGGACCACCCGGTCAAGGTGGGAGCGGAAGCGGTGGTCACGGGCATGCTCCATTTCCACCACCAGGTCCTGGACATCCTGGCGGAGGCCAAGGTCCCACTGGACCTTCTGGAGGCCCGAGTGGAGGGGCTCCTACCGGGGGTTACCCTGGTGGAGCGCCTGGGTTCTATGGTAGCGCTGCTGATACTCAGGGAACTGGGAACAATCAGTGTGGTTCCAGTTTCTATGGTCCTGCCTACGGAGGAGGCGTTAGCCACCACGGGGTTGGCGCTGGCGTTAGCCAGCCCAACGATGCTGTAGGTTACCCCTCGAGTGTTGCAAGTGGCGGTAACCTTGGGCCAGGTCTCAGCCTTGGCTACAGCGTTAATGGGGCCGGTAGGCAGGGAGATGGTGGTCTTCTCCCTGAAGCCTTGAGGGGGGATGATGGACGGGACAGGTGCACTAAGTGTAGCAGGATCCCTGAGCCTGGCTTCCCTCTTATTCCTTGCGTCGGTTGTGGAATGAGGGCGTGTGAAGTTTGCTGCCCTATGCCTGCTAGGCTGTGTGAAAGTTGCAGGATTACCTCATGTACCCCGATAGGGGCTCTGATTTCCACCGTTGTCGATAAGGATCGGTTCCATCATAAGTGCAACACGATAGTGCTACC